GCTCACGAATATGAGTCCCGCTTTGACTTGAAATTAGTAGAGCTTTTCTTGAATAGATCAAGTCATCTTGAGTAAGTCTTGTATTTGAATTAGTTTAGCATGTCTCACTATAATTATTATACAAAAACACCTGGCGAAATAATACACAACCGCTAAAAGTAGTGTTATTATTTTTATCTATTGAATAGTATCTATTCAGAAACTGGTAGTTAGATACTAATAATTTATAAGGGATTCCGCTTGTACTCTGAAGTAGGTAAGTATCTACATGTACAATCTGTGTATTGATGACATTGGATACACTACGGATGTATGTATGTATAGGGAACGTGAGACAGCATTGTTAAGATAATACGTTAATCACGTACTATTGTGATGACCAACTTAAATATGAGTGAGGGGAAAATATTGATAAGGAAATAATCGGCAGTTGTTTATGTGTGTACCTATAACTGCGTTGCCATCACAACCCTATTCTTTTCTTTATGTGATAAGACGGTAAACGAGCAGACAGATCACCTGATGGTAAGCAATCGGCGCCGCCAGTGGACACCCGCAACACCAGAGGCGTTACAAGTGCTTTACCGGCCTTTTGGGGATAAGGAATTTGAGGACTGTCGGGGATTATGCCTCATTCAAATGACGAAACACAATGCTTCAGTTTCGGTCAGTTTTCTGTGAAGCTGTGGTATCAAGTCGTTTAATAAACCTGAACATCAAACGCTTGCTAAGCGTGAAAGCATGAAAGATAATAGCAACGGTAAAGGAACATAATATAATATTTCCAGCTTTTTAAATGCAGAAAACTTATTTAGGACATTTTTGCGCTGACGAGATGGCGCCATTGGCGTGTTTCGTCTTATACCTAATTATAAAGAACATTAATTGAATAATATATTTAAACAATGGCTTTGATTTTTTTTAATAGTATACATATGCGACCTTACGAAAGTTCATTGAACGAAATTAAATATTATACAAATGTAAATATGCTTTCAAATAAAAAAAATCTATTCGTTGCTTTTTAAATCCGATTATTTTTCTAGAAAATTGTGTGTGACTACTATTTATTGGCATTTCTTTGTGTAGTTCTTTGGAAATAAAATATTATCCCCAATTATAATGACATATTGTACCTAGTATTTTTACGTAGGCTACATGAAACATGTTACAGTAGGTAGCACCTATTGATGTTATTATTATAAATATTCTACTGAAAGTCACATCATCAGCTCACGCAATATTAAAAAAAATATGCTCATTTAGTAAGTTATTTTAACGAGTCAATAAATCTAGTTTATACCTACGAGTAGTAAATAAAGATTGCGATGACTTTATAAAATTTAATCTTTAATGATCATTTTCACACTTTGCTTCGCTTTAGCAGAACAAAATTTATTAAAAAATCTGACAAACGTTTCGATTTTAAATGGATATCAATTTTCAATTTATTTTCAGAAAATTTCATAAAGACTGACTCATTAATTTTGACATACCCTTTGTCAAGCTTAAAAAAATAAACTAAAAAAGATGTCAACAAAATAACTTTAGCAGAAAATGACACTTATATCATTCAAGAAGCATGAAGAATGCACTACAATTACCGACTATCTTTTCCAGTTATCATGTCCAGACTAATCGTGAAAGTATTGTTTCATAGTTTATTATTAAAACATTCCTAATGTTCCTAATGTAATGTTATATAATCATGTTTTTTCACGATATTTGGCGGTTATTACACAAACCTAATAATGACCCGGCAAGGCTAGTGCAACGATTTCCCGACCTATGCCAAGGTTCGACGTTTAAACTGATCGTGCCTCGTGCATTTATTTCATAAGGGAAATGAGTAAACATACGTATCGTCACGTATACGTGCTTATACTGTTTTCTCCCCTTATGTAAGGTTTCTTCAAGGTACAGGTGTCTTCAACTATATATGATGTATTGATATAAAGGGACTTAGGCTAAGTATCAGGATATCAGTAAACCGTTTTTTGTAGTTTTATTTTGTGGCTATAACAGGCTAAGGTTAAACACAAACGACGAAAACCTAAGTTAAGCAATATTATTATCATCGTAACATGACATAACATAAAGAGGTGAAAAGTGAACGTTACTGTGATTCAACTCTGCCTATCCATTCTAGGATTGAAAAGGCGTGATGTGATTTTTATACTTGACCATACATACATATGTTACTAAGAAAACGAATAAGCACATGGTGTTCATCTTATTTTCTATTAAAATTTAATTATGGTATAAGTTATGAATAACGAAAAGTGTTTATACCTCTATATTCTGACCGCCCTGAGGACACGGTGGAACACACCGTAGCGGAATGCCCTGCTTGGGCTGAGCACCGCCGTGCCCTCAGGGAAGTGATCGGCGATCGGGCCTAGTGCAGGCCATGATGCGGAGCGAGGGAGACTGGGATGCCGTCTCCTCCTTTTGCGAAGCAGTTATGCTAGCTAAGAAGGAGGCGGGACGCGTGAGGCAGCGAAGCGCTGCCTCCTCGCAACCCAGCCATCGCGAAGGACACACCGGGCGTCGGGGATCGCGGGACGATCTCCGGCCACCGTAAGCGCGGGCCTGCGGACGGCGAGCATGGGTGGCTCCCCGTCCGACCAGAAACAGACCCGAGCGTACGGCGCGTCGCGTTCCGCGCGCGCCTCAAAGAGCCATCAGACCACCACAGATGGGGCCCAATAGGGCCGATGCGCGGAGAACCTAACGGGTAACCGGGGCTCCAGCTTGACGTGCAGGAGAAGGAACGGGGTGGTTTTTAGTCAGTAAGAGTCTGACACTCCCTCCCGCCTCACCTAGGTGGGAGCAGTCATTCGATGATTTCCCCCTTAAAAAAAAATACCTCTATATTCTGTAGGAATACACAGTTTCAATATTTTATTACTCTTTAAAAGTTTATCTCTCTTAATTCTGTGGCGAGACGTTCAATCTCTTCGAAGCTCAATAATGAGATGTCCCATAAAAATAACGCCACTTTCTATAAGCACTTGCAGCATTATGCGATGGAAACACTCGAGCGAGAACAACTGCAACAAACTCTCTAAAATCGTGGCGGTACGATCATAGGACTAAAGTCCAATTGACCAATTATAATTCAATATTGTTCATCCTTCACTACTCATAAATAATTCAACACCTTTGTATAATGATTTTCAAGCAAAAATTTACATGTTGATGTATTTTTTTTCCTCAACAAACATATATAGTATACAGAAGTTGACTTTGACTTTAAATAATCTAATTAGCACTATTTCAGACTTGAAAATGTTAAATAACGAGACTGATCTAACTCAACGGTTCAATATTTACTCGTATATGTATACGAAGGTGTGTATATATGTATATTATATTCGCTAAACTCACGTGATAAATAATCACAAGGTCTCGTGCTTCAGTGAAACTTACCTGAAGCTAGGTAAAAATATGTTTACTTAATTTGTACTTTTGAATACTATCGTATATTACACTTTTAGTGTATTTAAAATGACTTAACCCGAATATTAAAAGGTTACTCAATATTAATTTGCACTTAAATATCGTGCCGTCTCTGTCATTTTACAAAAAAGTTGTAGTAACAGAACTATATTTAAGTGCGACTCAAAATTGAGTGACGTTTGAGTGTTTCAGCATTATTTAACAGTATTTTATGCAACTTTTGTAAAATAAAATACCCTACACAGATTTTGTATTTTCCTAACAAAACGATTGGTTCGTAAACGAACGAACGAAGGAAAAAAAATAAACATATGGATGAGACGGATCACGTGTATATACATATAAGACTATTTAATTTATAATCTGCATCATACACATCATTTCACACTTAAACGTAAACGTGTTCAAATAATAAATCAACAGTGAATCATTGAAATAAATGATATGAATCGAATTAATGTTTTCTTACACGTTATATTGTAAAATGACAATTATTATGACTACTAATAATATAATGTTTATTTTATTCCTTAACTCGTCGAGTACCGGTTTTATAGACACAATTAAAGAACAATAGGTCGCGGTCACCGGTGACCGCTTGGTGTTTGACAGTTTAACATTACGTTAGGACAATTCGCAATGATTCGTAAAGTCATGAAAAGTAGTACCTACCTGTGTTCATAGAAGCTTCTTAAAAATCTAATATATAAGTACCATTAAAAAAAAAGATGACACATTTCTTACGGAGCTTGAGTAGACAAATCTAGCATCCGAAGTAATTGCGATTGGCAGGAAATGTCTACAGCTATTAAGTCCACCTTTTTACTTTTTTGTGCGCATGAAGTATTCAATAAATAAAAGGGAACCTAAAGCTCTAGTTCAGGTATTGGTAGACATAGACACTGATACAAAGCAGTGGCTTTGTATCAGTGTCTATGGAAAAAAATAATTTCATTAATTTCATACAAAAGAAAAACTTTATTTAAATGATTAAATAATGTGTATGTATAACGATGTATGACGTTGTCAGGTGCATTGTATTTTTATTACTTACATTTTTATTCACACTCAAAAACTCACGTTTATTTTTATACATAATTATGCACAGTTAAAACCACTTGATTTTAAACTCCACTTCCGTAGCTACATACCTATATTACTTTATTAATGCATTGTTATATGAGTGTATGGCTAATATTAATAAGTGTGGGAGAGCCATGCTTCGGCGCGAATGGGCCGGCTCGACCGGAGTGATACACCTCACAGGAAACTGACGTGAAACTACGCTTGCGTTGTGTTTCGTCGAGTGAGAGAGGTTACCGGAGGCCCAATTACATTACTACATATATACTAATACTTAAATATATGTTACTTATTTTAAAATACCCATAAGCCAGGTTTGTCACACCTAACAAGAAACATAATCCTCCTGTACGTACAAATGTCTGTCAAACTCAATTCCAATTACGTCCCTGTGCAATAATGTGTATATTCAAAGTGCTAATGTTGTTTGCCTGTTTGTTCTTCAGAGTGGAGAAATGGCCGCGATGTCAGGCGCCCCGCTACTCCTCGCCAACGCTACCCTCACCAGCAAGTTGCAAGACGATGACCACAGACACGCAGAGCCTTTGAAAAAGAACAGGGATTATGAGTAAGTACCTTTCATCATCATTACTATACCTCTAATCATAGGAAGAACTAATCATTGGTAGACTAATTTTAGAATCAAGGTTGGGTTCCCGAATGCCCGAAACCCCTGGTAGTTTGTTTTTAAAAGCTGAAACATGGCTCTGCCGCGTACAAATATTATGTAAGGGTATAGTGGCAGTTTTAGGACGTACTCGACGTACTATTTTTCAATTTTAAATACTAAAAGTCGAGTTGGTGCACAAAGCAAACTTCATTATATAAGTATACACAATAGGTACTCTATACGAATATCTATGCTACGTGACTTTTAAAGATTTTCCTCGTTTTCAGAAAACCGACACATGTTTACACTTTACATAATCATTTAGATCACTTAATAGAATTAAATATTTACATTACCTGACCAAAGTTCAAATCGACTCAGATTTCTAAAAGATTATCAAAAACCGTTTTTGCTCGCTTTATTACAATGAAATAACGAAACTAATCGTTTATCGAAGTTATTGAAAAATTATTTAAAATTACCAAAGAGCTTGTTGAGTTTACCTTCAATTTTGCTGAGTTGGCAACCTTTTTCTTGCAGACATGTTGCCAATCCTACCGAGCCGAGTAGCGAGTAGTAACAAAAAATATTCCCAGTGGGTACTGGGAATATTTTTTATTGCTTTTTAGTTCGTTTTGTTCACATTTCATTTTTAGAATTCATTTATGACTTTCTACGTTTTTACGTCTTGGCAATAATGTCGATAAATGTATTTTCTTTATTTCTTTCTTTAATGGTTACTACCTAATCCTTCAGAGAAAAAGGTGTGGTGCTATAATTTATAATGCCTACAATAAATGTTATTTATAAATACCATTTAAGAGCACATTATTAAGTACATGCTAATAAGGTGCTCACGGTTTAAAAATTACCTATTTCATACGCATATATATTAGTACCTACACTATATAAATATATTATCACTATTTTCACGGAATCTACAATCCCTTTAAGTGTTTTCAGGTATTTCAATGTGAAGCTGAATTACAGAGAACACTTGAGTATATGCGTATGGCTCCTTTACTACATTAAAGGTGTTTATGAAATTGCATTAAAATCGGATCTGTGGTTGAGGCATGAAAGTGTTTCAAGAGAAAATCTTTTTAATTAAATACTACCGCTAAGATACTACAGATAAATACAAATTGACATTTAAAAGCCAATTGTTTAAATAATGGCCCTGAATGTTACTTAAGCAAAAACTATAAATAAGTAATATTACTTATTTACCTATACTATATTACGTTATTATTGTCTTTGTTGATATCAACAAATACATAGCGATACACAACACAACACAACAAGCAACACAGCGATAGGATTTACATGCACCAAGTACCTAGTATAACGTGCAAATAAACGTTCTTATTCTTATTCCTATTCTTATTCTTATTTTAACTTCATATTGTTTTATTGTAGCAAAACAATTTATGAAGTGGAGTAAACTGTTCCTTGTTTATGGTCCACAGATACAATATAATATAATACAATACAATACAATAGTATTTATTATAACACTCTGTCTGTGGACCATGGACAAGACTTCATTTTGTTTAACTTTGAGTCTCAGTATTATAAATTATATTTACATTATTTTCTATTGTATAGAGTTTTACTTCCGCTTTCTGTTATGTTTTATTTTTTATAAGTTTTAATTAAGTTTGTGTTATGTGTGTTCTGCGCAGAAATAAATGATTTTTCTTTCGTTTTCTTTTTCAAATTAAGTTTTTGTATAACGCATATTAAATAAATGGCTAAATACCTACATACATATTCTTTAGGATGCCAGTGACAAGACGTAGTGACGAAACTGGGCCTCCCTTACGTCCTTCGACTAGTAGGAAGCGACCTTCATTCAGATGCTCCTTGCGATCAGTATTGTTTTATGTATACACCATGCTTAATTCGGATCCTCGGTAAATAAAAAAGAGTGTTAAAATGGAAGTTTGACATCAGTCAAGTGGCAAAATGGCGACTAAAACTTAGGTATATCTCTAACTAGCTTTTACCCGCGTCTTCGCTCGCGTCACAAAAGGATAAAAAGTAGCCTATGTGACATATACCAAGACACACAACGCCATCTATACCAATACTTTTGTTTTCCCTCGGGAATATCAATTTTTTCCGGGATAAAAAGTACTCTATTATTTAATCCGGACTTCTAACTTTACGTATGCAAAAATTCAAAGCAATCGGTTTAGTAGTTACGGCGTGAAATCGGAACAAACAAACAAACTCACTTTCCGATTTATAATATTAGTAAGGATACCTTTAAACAAGCAAATCTTATACATTATATCAACTATAGATTATTATTTCTCGTTTTGGTTTAAACTGTCAAACACCAAGCGGTCACCGGTGACCGCGACCTATTGTTTTTTAATTGTGTCTATAAAACCGGTACTCGACGAGTTAACGACCTCGGAAACTGTCCAACAATTTTCTTGAAATTTTGTATTTAGGCAGTTTTAGTACATACAGGTGTACATTACGGCACTTCATGCCACCGTACAATGTAACACCCGCTTTTCACTATTTATGTTATGAGTCCCATGTAATAGAGGGTGAGACCATTGCCATATACCGGGCACAAACTCCGTGCTGCAACTGAGAATTAAAAAAAAACGAGGTATTACTTTGCCCGATCCGGGAATCAAACCCGAAACCCCTTGCCCAGCACTTGCGACCATTTGGCCAACGAGGCAGCCCAGCTTGCACTTTGGCATTTTAAGGTTATTTTCTTTTTCGATCTCTTTGACTTGATTTTGGTGTTACATTGTTCTCGCACAATCGAACCAATAAAACTGTGTAACTGGAGAATTGTATTGTGAACCTGATTGGAAAAGAGTAACCTATGGAGTTTCTTGCTCGTTCTTCTCCATAGGTACACCTTGGAATGAGCAAATAGCTTCACTTTTAAATTTCTATTGTCGACGTTCAAAAGTGCCTTCCTGGTCTAATTGAAATAAATGATTTTGACTTTGACTTTGAATTTGACTTTGACTTTAGGCAGTTTCAGAGGTGATAAATCGATCTGGCTAGGTTTCATAAAAAAACACGTAAAATCTATGTCTCAACCTTTTTGAGACAAATTTAAACGTCTATCTTTGTCAAATAAGGTGAAAATTTTCCACGGACGGTAATTTACTGTTTCTGTCGACAGTTAATGTTAAGATGATAGTTCTTAAAAGTATACCTAACTGTACTTTTTAGTCACAAAATAAATAGCTTTTAAGTGTGTTGTTCCATTTTTAGTAGAAACTATCAAAAGATGAAATTGTAGAATATTCTTACAGTTTTATTTACTTAATCGTACACTGTGATACGAGAATGGTTGATACCGAAGTGAGTTTTAAAAGTATGTTTATATGTTTAAAAAAACCAAAACATGTTTTATAAACAGTCAATTTAGTTTATTAATAGCGAAATTTCTTTAATAATAGATGCTCGCTCGAGGAATAGGTACGAAAGGGAACTGTCAGACAAAACTCAAATCAGTGAGATAAGTTCCACAAAGACAACAACACCATTTTTCAAGTGACAGCAGCAAAATAATTTAATATAAATTATTATGTTTTTGCGTAACAGTTTGACGATGAAATCGACTAGTTTCAAGCCATTCTAGAGGCTCATATTCATGAGCAGCATTCCGCGACGCAGCATTAATTTAGTACGTCTCACGAAAATTATAATATAAACATAATTTAATATTAAAAGTATAGTTATTAGGTGACTAGACAATTATTCAAATCAAACTCTTTCTATCAAATGTCAAAAGTTATCATTTGTCAGCAATTTTGATCAAAATTCGCATCTAATTAAGATACAAAGTTTAAAGCAAATTTACCCGTCCTGTATTTTAATTGGAACAAACAGACTATTAAATAAACTAAACAAAATTTCCAAGAATCCAATCAACTATTATTTTTGATTATACATGATTTTATTATAATAAACTCAACAGTGATAAATGTAAATATTTTTGATTATAAAAATATGTTATTAACTTCTAAAGCCATCTAATAAAATCATGTTTTTGCATTTGTTTCATCCAATTGTAACTAAAAGAAAAACAAGAAAATATGAATATCCAACTAAACGCTTCAATGACGTAACTGTTGGACTATTAGAAAAAAAAACGTGTGTATTCGATTAACTATAATAATAAACAACTAAGTAATAAACGAGAGTTCACGATGAACGGAGAAGGTACTTTGAACTGCAACACTGGACTATTAGTTGATTGCATTTGCAAGTCACTGCCGTTATTTTTCTAATTACATACCTATCTACAGAAAACTATTAAAACAAATACTCCTCTGAATGCTGAATACACTTCGTGATGTTATAAAGCTTATTCTGTTTTGTTGAACGCGCTAATCCAGAATTGAATTGAAAAAATATCGAGGAAGCCTATAAAAATCACGCATGACACTATGATCAATGGGAGCCGCCCAGCAGGCGAAACTGCACGGTAGTAGCTACATTAACATGCATATTTATAAATTAACTATCTACAAACTAATCGTCACAACTTAAAGGACTTAACGGGTTGCCGGGGCTCCGGCTTGAAGTGCAGGAGTAGGAACGGGGTAGTTTTTAGTCAGTAAGAGTCTGACACTCCATCTCGCCTCACCCAGGCGGGAGAAGTCATTGAATGATTATCCCTCCTCAAAAAAAGTGTAATTTTCATCAATGTCTGCGACTATACCTAAACATAAAGACGTGTCCCATGTTTGGAAATTGTCCTTAATCAGTGGAAATAACCACATTAAGTACTAGATCGAAAGGTACATATTTGCCTATGCCAATGGGCAGTAATGAGCATGTTATTGTTATGTGTGTAATTAAAACAGCTACTGTTATGTTAACGGCAACGTTTTTAATTACAGATGGCAAGTGGTATGGAGAAACGTGTTCGCATTCGTATACCTGCATGCCGCAGCCTTGTACGGATTCTACTTGATGTTCGCCGGGAAAGTTAGAGGATGGACCATTTTATTCGGTAAGTTAATATTCGGTATTCATTATAATACAAGTTTGGATTCGAAATGCTCTCCCATGCGCGGCTAAGCCGAGCATCAAGCGAAAATATTATTTTAAAGCTAATCCTATTTGTAGCCTACCCTAGCGGCGACCATATTTTGATTCTGGCTTTGGAGCGATTCAAAGTTTATGCGTATAATGTGTTGTGTAAATAAGTTTTCTCTCTAGAATTTTCCATTTATAATATTCAAAATATCAACATCGGTAATAAGTTCAGTCAACTAAGTTCAACTAACCTTATACTGTTTAACACTATTTGCATGTCACGACTCGTAGATCTCATCATACGTGTCTTAGATTTGATCTTCAGGTCTGACGATGTAATACTTAATTAGCCCTAGTGTATTGGCAATGAACTTACCCCTTTTTACACAAAAGCTAACGTAAGATAGATATGACACTATTTGCATCTATAAGCATAATCCTGAATGACAATATATTTGATTACTCTATTTTTTATGATATCTATTTCCAGGTTTAGTATTCGCGTTAATGGCAGGTATGGGCGTGACGGCCGGTGCACACAGGCTATGGGCACATCGCTCATACAAGGCGCGCTGGCCTCTTCGGCTTTTCCTAGCTCTAATGCAGACAATGGCCTTTCAGAATCACATATACGAATGGGTCCGAGATCACAGGTCAGTAGTAACAATAGTATTTTTTGAAATTAAACTTTATTGTCTCACAATAAGGTCGAAAATCTTTTGGATTTGGTTGATGAACGTACTGATGAATCAGCTGTACTGATATCTATTACAATGGAGAAAGTTTGAGTGTCCGTTGTCCAATCATGCAAAAATGTTGGTAAAAATTAATTTGGATGGGAATGTTATAGAGATGAATTGACTTTTACTTTGAATACAAACAGGATTTATTTCTTCTTCACATACCAGGGTAGTATTTATAATTAAATTATTCGTGGTACATAAAATGCATTCACATTAAATGACTGACTGCATGAAAGTTTTCTAAATCGTTCGTTTTAAAACTATTTCGTTGTAGCCATCCGAATGATTTATTTGGAACAAAATGATGTGTTTAAATCCAATGGTTACAAAAATTTAAATTATTCTTGCGAAACTATGTTAATAAAACGAATAAACATAATTTCATCGATAACAGAGATAACCTTAACAAAAAATATAAGTAGGTACCTCAAACAGAATTTTCTACAATATTCAAAGGTCAAACGTAGACAATTTGAAAATATTCGTTGGCACTCGTTAATTAGCACTATTCGGTATTTTTAGCGAACACACATGGACAATCCAATATCTAAGTTCAATATATCGTTGGCCATGAAATTTGAAAATGAGGTTTACATTAAAAATCAGCGGTTTGTGGAGACATGTTTGATAATAGTAAATATGTCCATGTTTACTATTATCATGGGTAATCACCTAACTACTGAATAATTTCATATTTGCAGATTGTAACTTAGTAGCTACAAATATTATTATGATGTAACCTTATTGGTGCCGGATATTTCGTTAATTTGTTGAGGTCATACTATGTGCGTGTGCTCGGAAATACCTATGCACCGTTGTGCACCATATCACGGCAATCTAGGTGCGCTAGGTTTGTGATTGGTATTCACACAATCTTATAAATTTCATGTTTTGTTATGTAGCTAGTTAAGATTTGGAAAATTAATATTACTTATTGCTTTTTTGTTTACATATATATACAAATATGTCCAGCTATCATATTTGTTTTGCTTATTTCGTATCTAAATATCGTAATGTTTTAATATGAAATGAGCAAAACATAATACAATATGGATTTGGATTTCCCATCCGGGATGTCAGCACCGAATTGGAATTCCTACTAATATAATGCGAAAGTTTGTTTGTTACTTCTTCACGTCAATGCATCGGGGGATCGGGATGAAATTTGAAACAGGGGTAGATTACGGTTTACATAACTATAACACAATACTACTTTTTATCCAACTGGAACGCGGGCAAAGCCGCTGGTTGAAACTATAGTGTCACGCATAATGGAATGGCCACAACTTTAAGTAATAAAAGATTAGTACATAAATTATTTGTCTATGAAAAGATTCAACGACTCTATTCCTGTTGTGGTATCTATGGTATAGTCTATGATGATAGTTTTATCTATGGTGCGGGGCTGAACCCGCGAAATTATAAAAAAGATAAGAAAGACGCAATAAAACAGTTGAGTGTATTAATACCCTTTACTCGTTTTACTTTTTTTTATGGTATAAGCCGGTAAACGAGCAGACGGATCACCTGATGGTAAGCAATCGGCGTCGCCCATGGACGCCTGGAACACTAGAGGCGTTACAAGTGCGTCACCGGCTTTTTGGGGATTAGGAGTTTGAGGATCGTTGGGGATTCAGGGATTGGGGAGATTGGGGAAGGGGAAGTTAATTGGGCCTCCGGTAACCTCACTCACACGACGAAACACAACGCAAGCGTTGCTTCACGTCAGTTTTCTGTGAGGCCGTGGTATCACTCCGGTCGAGCCGGCCCATTCGTGCCGAAGCATGGCTCTCCCACACTTAGAATAACTAACTTGTATTTAGTTCCCGTATAACATACTTGTGTTAAGTAACTTAACACCATTACGCTAAACACATAAAGAGCCAATTTAATTAAAAGTTAAATTAATACTATTTACTCTCTTTCAATAACAGAGTTCACCACAAATTCACGGAGACGGACGCAGACCCTCACAATGCGAGACGAGGCTTTTTCTTCTCCCACATCGGCTGGCTGATGGTGCGCAAACACAAGGACGTGTTTGAGAAGGGTGCCACCGTCGACATGTCAGACTTGGAGAAAGATCCGATCGTTATGTTCCAAAAGAAGTAAGTATTGATTTCAAAATCATTAAAAGTTTCATGTACTTAGATTATATTTCAATGTAAGTATTTTCAAAGTTCCCGGTGACCGCCAAGACTGCCATTGGCCGAGTGGTCGCAAGTGCGACTGCCGGGCAAGGGGTCTCGGGTTCGATTCCCGGGTCGGGCAAAGTATTACTGGGTTTTTGAAAATCTCAGTAGTAGCACGGAGTCTGGAAATGTGCCCGGTATATGGCAATAGGCGCACCTCCTATTACATGGGACTCAACATAAATAGTGGAAAGTGGGTGTTACACTGTATAGTGGCATTAAGTGCCGTAATGTGCACCTCTGCCTACCCCTTCGGGGATAAAAGGCGTGATGATGATATTTTCAAAGTTTTAAATGTTTGTAAAGCTGGTAACGCGCCGGCCTAAGGACGTTATAGGTAATGCTATGCTCTTACAATTATTAATCTGGTTATGCTAATGGTAGTCAATGGGTGGCGCTGATATTCCGTCTGCTGATTTGCTCTTATCCCGTAAAAAATCGACTTTACATGCTAACTAAATTTTAATTAAACTCCGTTTTAAACTGATGATCGATTAAAAGGAAAAAAGACTGATTCGCACTCATTACTTATTGTCGATAAGTAAAATAGTTTTTAACAAATGAAAAACGTAATTTTTCTATTAACTGACCAATTTAGTCGAGCGAGAGCAAAATTAATACTATTATTTAACTTTTTTTGCTTGAATAAGAGTAATACAAGCTCTCGCATTATTCTCCCAGTGACTGCCCTCGTCTATAAAGATTATTTACCTTACGCAATTTGTTTAAAGTAAAATCAAATATTACTTAACAGTTTCCAAACAATGCATTGTAATTTTTAGTTCAGTGCTTTTTCAATTGATAAGTTTGAGTAGAATAATAAGTACGTACTTAGTTTATAACTGATTGAAATTCCTTGTCTATAGTACTAATAATAACAATAACAGTGTTTCTGCGTATAACCTTGATATTCTAATATCTATATCAATAGTTTACTTAATTAGTTCCTAAGTTATATTTTGAGAGAAGTGATTTGTCTATCAGAATATAACTTATTCCCAAGGCTAGGACTGACGAATTCGATCCACCTATTAGTTCAATGTACCTATTAGTCCTTCTATAAAAAAGTAAAAACTACTGATAGGTTGGATATCGGTGCCTGAAATATTACACCTATCTCACTCCTATGTGAGATTCGACAAATAATAATAAATTTTCTATTGCACGAATTACATCTACGATTCTAAACTCGCATAGTTGCGTGCTTGGACTCATCATCATCATCAACAGCCTATAAATGCCCAGTGCTGAGCAAAGCCTCTTCTCACACGGAGAAGGTTTGAGCATTAATCACCACGCTTGCTCAATGCGGGTTGGCGATTACAAACTTATAATTAGAAATTATAAGCCCAGGTTTCCTCACGATGTTTTCTTTCACCGTTTGTCAGTGGTGTCTAAATAATCTTAGAAAGTACATATAACTCGGAAAAAGTCACATTGGTAGGTACTTGCTGTTGGTAAGTTTAGAACCCGCATTTTCATGCATGAGAAGCTAGCGTCTTAAACCTCCGGGCCACCACGACATTTTTCATGTCATCAAGATCTGATGAAAATTGCAATTAACAGGGTGCACCATTTTTATATTAGGTATGTTATACTTTTTGCTACAACTAGGAATAGTTTCTGATCATATGCGATTGCATAGATTTATAAGATCAATAAATTTGTCAGTTCTCGCCAATATGCTACAGGTTTTCAAGTTATAAAGATTTCTTTGTGAACACTATGGTGCCACTTTTCCTTTTGTCTCTGAGAAACCATTAGAGAGCTCATTATTGTGCGTCTGTTTCATTGTTCATTTAATACGAGACATCAGAAGCAGTGTCTCTATTGTTACTGGATGTAGTTATTTTAGTATCTACTTATTTGATTTAATTAAAACATTTTCATTCTCAGCAAAAGTGTTTTACAATCAGATATTATTAATAAACCTTTTCCTAGCTATAAGTACTTATATCATCAACCGTTGTTTGGTACTGAATTTCTATTGTCTATTTATCTCGTTTCGAGTTTCGTATATTCTAAGAAAACCTTAACTTAGTTATCGCACTGTAAACTTGTAATTAAACAATCGTTGTATTTCTAGCAAGTCGCAATGAAGCGTTTTTATGGTACAATTTTTATATCCGGATGTAAGCGCTGGTAGCGGAGTGTAGCCGCGAGTGAAAAGTTAGTTTGTGGTTTGTTTCTATTTTAGTCTTTAGGGAAACTATAGTCGTCTTGTTTCGTGTATCATCCCCACGACTGAGTTCTATATTCCTGTTTATGAGACGCGTACAACAAAACAAATAATGATAAGATCGAAACTTTTCCTTAAGGTTTTAATAATAACCCATTTCTAAGTATATCGTTAATAAATTCTGAAGTGACTTTGTACCTCTTCCTCTTCTTTGACCTTACTTACTAATTCTGTTATTAGACGTCGGTTGGTAAGGTAAGATAAGTGATGTGATCAATTTGCTCAAGAACTGCAACTATTTTATTTTTCAAATTGTATTAGCATTTCCAGTCTCCCGTGATTTCAAATGATTAAAAAATTTCTTAAGAGCATCAACAGACATCTTAGCAGTGAATAGGGCTTTAGAAATACTAGTCTAGAACTTTTTTAATGAATGACCGTTCGAATTTTAAATGCCTGATCCTTAAAGTATATCTCGTCCATTTAGCAATGAATGCCGCTTTGTAATTTTATTCAGGTTTTATACCGTTTTATTTACCATTAGTAAATTAGTATGATTTGTACGTTGGTTTCGTTGGTCAGGACTCAGACACATAGTCTCAATTTTCTGTCTTGTTAATCAAATTTAAAGAACACTCATTCAAAATAACTTGGTGTATGAAACTGAACTCATAGTGTAATCTTTTGGTAGTGATATTCCAAAATTGTAATTGGAATGAGGAAAGACTTAGCAAAAGCTATTTGAAACAACATTAATTGTAATTATGTAATTACCATTTACGTTCCAGAACATATATGGTGCTGATGCCGCTCCTTTGCTTCGTGATCCCGGCCTGGATTCCATGCTACTTCTGGGGTGAGAACCCATGGTACTCCTGGTATGTGGCCTCCATAACCAGATACACCGTGGCCTTGCATTTCACCTGGCTCGTTAACTCAGCAGCCCACATCTGGGGCAACAGGCCCTACGATAAGTAAGCAACATTTCACTTTTTACCGCTTGTCATTACGTTGTACGAGTATATATTCAGTGAAAGTTAAAAAAAATCCAACGATAATTTGACCCCGTTATGCTTCGGTTAAGTCGAGGAAACGAATTATTGGTTAGTTATTGTTATTGGTCGTTGGTGGTCATACTTAAAATTACGCTGAGTATGTTCGCCTATCTACATTTTCGTACCGACGAGGACTGTGGATCAACGTCTCATCTAACTACGTAATTATTACGAGATTATTATGTAGGTAGTTACATATTCTCCCAAAGAATTACATTTAATGACTATTTCAACACCTCTAAGCATCAGTAGTTTAGTTAAATTAGTGTTGTTTATGGGACTAACCGGTAAACGAGCTCACGGATTACCTAATGGTAAGCAATCGGCGTCGCCCATGGACACCTGGAACACCAGATGCGTTAAAAGTGCGTTACCAGCCTTTGGTTTACATGTTCAATGTTCATGTCTGTAATTAGAGTTAATTTTGTAGAGTAAATAGTCTTGTTTATACTAAAATGTAGGAATTTTCTTTACTATTATTTTGAAATTTTCTTTGCTATTATTTTCCTATAAATAAAGAAAATTCTAGTGCCTAATAATGACTAACACACATTGCGTTTACGTGCAGGAATATATCATTTTTCACAGCTTCGGCTATGTTAACATTGATAGGTAATGTTTCAACCATAAATGTGGAACTATAAAGTTCAATTTACTTTGAACTAAGTATCGCGTGATCGTACATTATGTAACACACATTAACTAACTACTAACATCCTGATATTTCAGTCAATTTATTTCGCTCACTTACAGAAAGTTACAAATTTAATGAACTACGCGAAATTAATGAGTAACTAGTACTTGTTTGGTAAGATTGGGAAAACCTATAACAATATATAGGTTTGAATAATTGTGAGTAATCGTTTAATTGCAGTCTTGTCAACATCTTGATTCCTTGCGTTTAAGAATTAAATTGCAATTAAGTTTTTGGTTTTACCTATATAAACTTTACGATAGGTTGTATTCTGTAGCCTCACAGTTTTCTTAATAAAAACCATTTATTTGTAGAACATCCGTTGGGCACTTACGAAGGTATTTAAGTAAATCTGGATTACCGAAAGTAACTACTTCTGAACTAATGGATTCTTCTGATTTTTTTCTAAATGATCTGCTACGTTGGCATTGTTAGACAGAAGTTTTTAATTGTAACTAGGATAGAAAAATAGCTTTTATTATATTGACTAACGAAATATTAAAAAAGTAGTACCACTTAACTATCATGCTAATCATAAAAAACCTTTTAGTTTTTTTTCACTCACAAAAACGTTTATTTTTCCTACAAGAAAACTAGTTATGTTCACTAACGTGACTTGTTGCTATTACAGAAACATAGGCGCTACTGACAACAAGGCGGTCGCCATCTGTGCGTTTGGAGAAGGCTGGCACAATTATCACCACGTCTTCCCCTGGGACTACAAAGCAGCTGAACTTGGAAATTACAGCACAAACCTATCTACTGCTCTCATTGACTTCGCAGCTAAACACGGTAACATTCTTAGAACACTTAATATTTAAGTTATTATGAGACAGGAAGGAGACGGGAGTAATAGAACCATTAATATTAAATTAAATGTCGTTTCTTCAACTGTCAAATTTTGTGACTTGAGACAGTTATTTTAAATTGGTTTTCGATGTACATCGAGAACACATTTAAAATTTGAACAAAATAATTGTCTTACAGCTTTTAGGTAGGTAGGTACCAAAAATAGCAATAAGCTATTCTACATATTTATGAAACTGAAAAAAGACTGAAATAGAAACGGTGAATGATACCTACATTCTATCCTTAAGTGACTTAAATTTCCACTTTATCAATAAGTTTTAATGGAAATTTTCTTATTCAAAAATTTTCTGTCCACAGGTTTAGCATATGACTTGAAAACGGTGTCAGCCGAAATGATCCGACAGAGGGTAAACAGGACAGGTGATGGTTCTCATCCGTGGACCAAGGACAGCCAAGAAGATGGACATTATCATCCTGAGAACCCAGTGTGGGGCTGGGAAGACACGGATATGACCGAGGAAGAGAAACAATTCGCTGAAATCGTCCACAGAAAAACTGAATAGGTTCCTCGTGTTGCGGAATTTGTTTTAATTTTTCTTCTATACGAAATGAAAGTCCCTACAAAGGTGACTGACTGTTGTATTTTGTGTATTTGTGAGCATTTTATGTGTAAAATATTCTTAATCTTCTTTAGTTAGGTACAAAGCATAGTTTCCGTCATGCTCTAGTTTTAATATAAAATTCGCTCAATTATTTTTAAATATATCGTGTGTCGGTTAATTATTATAATGATGGAAAGAATAAAATAAATTTCGATGTTGTAAATAACAAATTGTGGATATAATATTCATATTTACCTACTTTAAGAGATCTGTTCTGAAGTGATGATGCAACACTCAGCAGAATGATTCTGTTAGGGTATATAAAATAAAAAGATTAACTGCATTCATCCGATCGTCGATGTCTTGTGTGGGGCCAAGTTAGATGAACTTAATACACAAGAGAACAGAATGTAGTTATAACATAAGTGACTGAATCAGCTTATGTATCTAATACTACGTTAGTATTTAATATATATCGTATATTTGTATGTGATATCGTTCTGATGGTGACTGTTAAAGATATTTATTTTTAAATTTAAATTTTACTAAGAGCCTTTGTAGCGTCACGTTTGAAGGGAGCGTAGAATATATTCCGTAACTTTTAAAAATGATGCTTATTTGTAGATGATCAAGGCCCTTAGTGAAACTTGACACAAAGTTGATGTAAGTTTTTAATTTATTTAGCAGCGTAACTTCGGTTGGGGTCTGCTTGTAATAATGTTTATATCGGCCACACTGAGAGCTCATGTTTTATGACATAGTAAGTGTGCGAGTGCAGGTACTAGTATAACATTTTTGTAAATTAAAATCTTTATATTTTAATAAATAGTGAATCGTTACTCTTTGTTTCATTGTTCGTAATTGGTTTCCCTGACGACGTCTAATTAAATATTTGAAATGTCAAGTATTCCTCTCAAATCCTTTAGTCCAGTTTAGTTATTTATCTTATGGAAATAAAAGGTATGAATATAATTATCATCTTAAGTTGTTCATCCTTAATCACAAAGATCGCGTACCTACTGGGAAATATAAATGATTCCATCGGACTACACGTTAGTTTAAACATCCATTTTAGACCCAAACCGACAGTAAAATATTTGCGGACTTATAATCATTAGGATCCGCAAGTAGTCTGTAGTATACAACGGTTTGGGTCTAAAACTGATGTTTAGACTAATATTAAACCCTAAGACAAGACCCTCGAATTTCCGGTCTGTTTTGTTACTATCCGTCATGTTATGCAATCTGGGGTCGAAATCAGCATAATGGGCTAAAGATATCAAGTAGAAACCGGTCAGTAAAATAAATACAATATAGTAATAATACAATATACTGTTATATTTATATAGGCTGTATTTTGTGACATGTATAGTTATATAGAGGCATATGTAAATACGTCGGGTCATAAATATAAAAAAAATATAAATTTATTTTAAAGAACAAACCTACTACTCCTGTCTCTCTGGCACCCTAAGGTTATAAATGCCACTAGGCATTAGGTCCACCATTGTATATTGTACAAGAATTGTGAATAAAACAATAAAAATACTGAGAACCCTTATAATATCTATTCAAGTCAAGATAAATAAAATAGTAATATACCTAATTACAACTTTAGGAGAGTAAAAAACTGTAATTGTTTTTTCCAGCAGTTTGTCGCAGTATTTGTCAGCAGGTTTTTTACCAACAACCTTTTATAACGCATTACCTACTTAATAAAATATTTGGCGAATAATGGGTATACACCCCTAGAGTTGGGTAGCTTCTGTGTATGAATGTCTACAGGAATTCTTTTTCTTTCTTCTGTACTTCTACCTACAATTGTCATGAAAGAAGCGATTGGACTGTATTATGTTTATCTTCGAAACCAATATCTAGAGGTATATATTAAATTGGACCACTCGTACATCATTATTGTGGCATTCAACGAACCAAGATGGCGGAAGTTCGGGAAATATTATTATGAGTAGTTTCTCTGATTGGCCAATAATACGATCATCTGTACATTGCTCACGTACAAACGGGACACACATTTCATTTGGGAACCAATTATTTGGTGACATGCTTGCATTTATGAGGTGATTTCTTTAACCTATAATTCATTTTGTGAGCCTTGTTCACTATTAGAGAAACAAAGATAACATTAGCTACTAATATTATAAAATTAAATGCGAAAGATTGTAAGGATGAATGTATGTTGGTGACTCAAAAACTAATAAACGGATCTGATGGAAGACATAGACATATAGATCTGTCGCGGAGAACCTAACGGGTTACCGGGGCTCCGGCTCGACGTGCAGGAGAAGGAACGGGGTGGTTTTTAGTCAGTAAGAGTCTGACACTCCCTCCCGCCTCACCCAGGCGGGAGCAGTCATTCGATGTTTTTCCCCCCTTAAAAAATAAGACATATATAGATCTGTAATACCTAAGTAGTTAGTCTTATCCCGAAAACGCAGTAAAAACCGCTAGCAGAAGTAGTTCTTAATAAAAAACAACAACATTATATGTAAACCAATGTACAATATTTATTAAATAACCAATAGAACAGACTAGAAGTAGGTACCTATATTAATTAACAAAAATAACACAAAATACTGAATAGGATGCAATCTCGGAAGAAAATATCCACCAAAAATTGTGGTATGAACTAAGGTCATATATTTAAAGTACAATCATGTTAGAAAGCGTCAAAATGAAGTCGATAGGTACTATGGGTGTTCTAATAATGATACTTAAGAATACTGAAAAAAAAACTAAAAAAACTGCTTTGCAAGTTTAAATCTTCACTTAACAAGTTTAAAACTTAACCTTAGATAACTAATTAATGTCAATAAATTACTAATACTATAATCTTATAAATAGACTAACGGCAACTAAACCCTTAAAAGAAGATTAACATTGCTATGAATAACATTATAACATAAACAAACAATAAACCTATTATAAGTTTTCAGAATACTATATCCAATTCCATGTTCCCTTTTTGGAGTTGGAAATTATTCAAAACTGTTATAATACGTATAAAACTTACAAAGTATTAAAGCATTGAAATTCGTCGGGTTCGCTTTGAACCTGGCAAGTGTAATTAAAAAATATGTTCATCAATATTAATGTTTTTTCTCAATATGTTGATCTTGACCCATTAAAGCGACTATTTTACCATCGCTATACGCTTTTAGCCAATCGGGATTTAACGCAAACGGTGGCAAGGATTCCATATTTTCAAATTCTACACCTAATGCATTACTAGCTTGCTGTGGATGGTTCTTCGTTTCATCGTAGACCATTCCATAATGATCCGTATGGATATGCTCCTCATTGTTAGATGCTGCAAAATGCTTTTCATTTTCATATCCACTGTTCACATAAATTACTTTATGTTGGTACTTATCGTTAAAGGCGTTATTTCTAAGTATTGTAAATGTTGCTCCCATCAGTGCCATCGAGTTCATCATTCCGACCATCAAAGTCATCATCTTTAATCCCGGCAATATAAATGGTATTATTGCTGATACCACCAGACCAGGCACTAGAAGAAATGGCGCGTATTTATAAAACATTTTCTGCAATTTCTTCGTGCTGCTTCGACCAGTTTCCGCAGTGTCACCTGAAAGTAGATTTAAATTCTTCCATAAGTGAATTTTTTTGTCATTCCGTATTACGACATCGTTCACTTTCACTGATATGCCTGCTTGACATTAAACTGAAGTACAATAATTACAGCATACCATTAATTACAAATTATAAAGTAAACACGTATTTGCATAAAATTGTTAATCAATTTTGTTCCGTATACAGTTTAGAAAAAGTGAAAAATGTTTTTTAGTGTAAACAATAACATTATGTTTACAGACGCGTGACTGCGCCAGAACTAATAAATAACGAATGTACTTACTTGTATAAATGTCGACACGCATCGTTCCATTTGCTTTGGATCCTAGTTTTACACTGTATCCGGGTATCATGTCGAAACCCAGAGACTTATATTGCAGTAATTTTCTGGTATCATCATAAAGTTGTGTGTATAGCTGTTCGTCAGACACATTACTGAACTTCTTCCATGGGAACTGCTCCACATCTTCAGTCAGGTTGAACTGTTTGCCGGGATTCTGGGCGAACGCTTTGATGGCGCGTTCTGCTCGCCATACACTTAGAGCACTTAGACATTTTGTGGGTCCTAACTCGTGACTACAGGAGAATATACGTTGTATGGGGTGGTAATATTGTCCAAGGAGCGAGTGTAATGTGGTTTGCAAAAGTTGGCGCGACGTTCGCGAGTGTTGGTGTGAGTAGACACACTGGCACGCGGCCACTATGAACAGTGCGGTGAGCGGTCGCATTGCTGCGGTTCAACTGACGCCAAAGCAGGTTCCCTCACTATCCACTACTCGCTCCAAATGCTAAGTGCATCGCCACCGGCGAAAGCGTTGTTTGGGCGTGTATGAAAAAAGAGTCTTCGTAGGATTATCTTTTCCTTGACTGGGTGAGATTGACAGGAGCCACTTCCGATTTGATAGAAAATATTAAATTAATACTATGAACAAAGTTAAAGGATTTTTATCAAGATACCATTAGGATTAGGAAATAACTGTTTTTATTAATACAACTACCAAATACTTTACTTTTTAGTAACTACACCGTTTAGATGAACTGTACCACAAGTTTTATTGCATTTTCTTCATCAAAGACTAATCAATCAACCCGATCTCTCAGCGCGACAGGTTCACTTCAAGTTTCGTAACATTGCTATAGTACCTTAATGTTACTTTCGCGGTAGATTGGTATAACTTTCACACTTTTCAATGGCACCCCTCGCGAAGTAGATATCTAATTTTAATTCCTATTCATGTCACGATAATGCATCATTCATATTTTTAAAGACATTACGTTTATATACCAACATATAAGTTTTCACATGATGACTATGTAGGTCTGCTTAACTGTTTTCCCAAGAAAGTAAACTCTCAAGTAAGATAACTATTATAATATAATAATTTCTAATAAAATATTATACAACTTTCTACAGAACGATTGGTTATTTATTATAACGCAATGTATAATTTCTTCTCTACTAAAATAGTTGTGATTATTGATGCGTTACCAACATGGTTACAAACTTTGTAGCAGAAAATACTTTCGGGATTAATTTAACCCTTACGTAACTTTATTAACTTTAAGGTACACCTACGCTGCATACATACATAGACTATGTTAACAAACAAACCTAAAACAAACGTTCTAGGTTTAACAAAGTTTAGGAATGTAACCGAATCATTGATTACGAGCAGACGAAGAGCTAAAGACGAAGAAGTAGAACCAATCATAAGTTGGTGACAACAGCAATCTCTAAACCGTCTGCTGAGTGTTGATTCCTTTCTTCAACTTTCAGCATATATTAACTGGTTGAGGGGTTTTTATTGAATCTTCGGTATATAATATTACCAGTATTTTCTCTTCTCTTTCTTGTCTCTTTTCTGTGAATATTACCGTACTTTTTAAGAATATGCCTGGCACATTTATTGTTCTTTTGTTACATTAATACGTTATTTTACTCTATTTTATAATACATGATGGTATGTATATCATCGTAAATTTTATAAGTCGTAAAAGTAACAGTCGGTTGGGTTAAGCTTCCGTTACACTTTGTTCGGTTCCGGGATCTAATCGTTGTAATAATTATCGCGTCCAATAGGCGACAAACGAAAGTGGTCATCCTTATTGTATTTGGGGTTACGTTAGTTTAATGTTAGTAATGTATGATGGGTAAGTGTGTCAGGTTAAGATTAATGAATATGTTAATAGTAACTAAATAATTAATTAACAAATAATGTTGATGAGTGGAAGAACTGTCTCATTAGTGAAATGGTCTAAATTTAAAAAATAGCAACTGCTATCTTTGGATTTGTGTGAGTTTTATTTATTTAATTTAAAAAACTTTATGCACACAGACAAGCACATGGGTGGACTTAGTGCCGCAGGCATTTTCTACCAGTCTGACCCTTGGGTGATGCAGAGAAAGTAATCAGCGGTAGTGGAGTTTTGTGTATTTATTTATTTAAAATCGGCACCTAACTATGTAAATGTTAATTAATTGGAGCTGTGTGTCGTGTTGTCGGTAAACAAAGTGAGTTTTCAAACACCGGCCACAATTTCATTCAAACAAGACCTATAGTATAACAGTGCACGTACTAATTCTAGTATTTTCCTAATTCATGCAACACATGCATAAAACTCGCGTGATTAAAAAACATAAATATATAAAAAGACTGCGTAATGAGGATGTGCATATAAATCGTATTTAAAATTGACTACGTATGCACGCTATATGCCTTTGTATGACTGACAAATGAAAGCTACTTGTTGTTGGCAATAAAATACTCTATTTTTTATGTAATACTCAAATGCAATGGAAAGTTTTGATAATAAAGCTACGTCTAGACATTAGCTCAGCATAATCGATATCAGACGACTAAAAATCGATCAATAAAATCTTTGCATGTCATAAATGATGTTTCTAAGTCGATATAATTTTATGTGAATGGTAATAGATATTGTAAGACTTATATAAACTAAACATAATAACTTGTCATTCTCGCAGAGATAACCAGAGATTTTAATTATTACGTTTCCGGCTTGATCGCGTAACTTTTTGAAGAGGAACTCAACTAGTTTCAAGGCATGTTAGAGGCTCATATTCATGAGTAACATTCCACGACAACGCGACGCGGCGATTGTCGCGTTGCGCTGTTAATTTAGTTGATATGTCTCACGAAAGTTTCAATATAAACATCAGAGCATATTACAGGCATAGTACATATTACAGGAAATTTTCAGTAGACTATCCTCTAAAAAGTTTGTGGTCAATTCAAATTCCATAGCAACGCAGTAATCTGTTACTGTACATAAAGCGAGCCAAATAATTATAGACACTATTTTATTGACCAACCTAGTCTAGACTAAATAGTTGAATAGATACTTAAATTGACAGGATCCGAAAATCCACTAAAGACACTGATTCAACTTACCTATAACAACTCAATCAATGTTTCAATCTGTTATAAATAACGTGACTCTGTTAACTGGTCTTGTAATCAATTGACGTTATTTAATCGAGTTTTTTTTTGTAATTGACGATTATACAGCACGACTGTCGTTATGCGTCTATTGTGTATCACTAGTTATGCAGTTTTTTATACCGTTTAACAGTCATTCAACGTTTTTAACCATTAGTGTATCAAGAAAGGTGACGCGCTTTGGTATTGTGAGTATTTATTGTGGTTTCGATTTTCTTTCCCATGATCTTGTACCCTAAGCAGTTATGTAGATAGGTATTGTCTCACAAGGGAATTTACAATAGGTTGTATGGGTTTCTTACGACTAGGTCTTGCCCATGACGTCGTCTGCATTCAATATACGTCGCTAAATCATGATTTGTCTTCGTTTCCCGATGTGTTTGGACAATAGTGGATATATGTATAATATATTCACTATTCTTTTTTAATATTTAAAAAAGTGACGACAATTACGTTGAGTCTTAAAACAGAGAATTTCTTGCAATTCGACCAGTTCACAAATTATGAAAAAATCATCGAACAGACGGACTCACATTTCAAAATATTAGTATTAATAGTGACAGTAGTTTAAAATTCCCATGCTATACTTAAATACACAATAGTACACGATTACTATCATTTGTTTAGCTGACGATTGTAAGTAGGTAGCATAATCATAGAGTTTCAAACGTAACATGTCTCTCTAATATATTAATCAATATAGACTAACCAATCTGCAGAAAGATTTTTATTAAAACGGGCCGTAAACAAGCAATGAAATGTAAAGAAAAATACTACAGTCTACAGGACATATTTTCTGTAATCAATATAGACTAACCAATCTGCAGAAAGATTTTTATTAAAACGGGCCGTAAACAAGCAATGAAATGTAAAGAAAAATACTACAGTCTACAGGACATATTTTCTGTAGACTATTAAATAAAAAAGGAGACTTTAAGATGAAGAGAATTGAAAAAGGAGGTATTTAAGACATGTTGTCTAAAATGAGTCTCTTCTCTCATTTTAAGGTAAAGGAGAAAGGAAGGAGTAAGAGAAATTGCGAGATAGTACACGTTTATAGATTCAATTCTATTTTCTAAGTAGGTACTTAAGCCCAGAAGCAATATCTCGCTTCCATTTTCCAAGAGATTAATGACAAAATTTACTCTATTTTGATAAAAATAAATTTGTTGATACGTACTGAGTAAATTATATTTGACAGTTATACATGACCTATTCATGTTAATTTCATTGAGAAAATTATTTACCATGACCACCTAACTTAAATCGACGAACGTAAACAAAATACATATTTTAGCATATTAAACAATTCGATTTAGGGGCTAGAGTGATAAACATCTTGAATACTTTTTTTACAAATAAAAGACCACCGACGAACTCCGAGACAGGAATACATTAACGAAATCGCGTTACGAATAATAAATTAAAAAACAATGATTTGTTTGAACAAGCAATGAGATGCGTGTGAAAGCACTAATTTTCATTCAAAAATCTAGGTGATTCGAGTTTCGATTTTTTCGGTATTCGATGTTGACAGGAAGTGGCCTATATTGCCGAACATAGTGTGTGATTAGCATACGGTCACGGACGCGGCCGAGTGACTGCGCCGGCGCATTGTCGCGCGCCACCGCCCCACGATCGAGTTTCTCTACACGGCACGTGACAAAATTCCTGATTAATATCCACTAATTATTCCTCAAACACGCAAATCATTATTTCATTAATCACTCTTACATGACTTGCAATTAAATGAAAGCAAAACTTGCAGGATGCAATATAATACCTACTTTATGAGACATTTTCTTTCCTAGCTTACGGCAAATAAATTAATGTTCATGATAATTTTAATTTATGTTCATAATTTTATCTTTAAATTAATCTAGATTAACAAAAAGCAATTATAATACCCATGCATAAAATAGTAACTTCAAAATATTAGAACTAATAAAATAACTACCTTTCTTGACTGAAAGCAAATTCACTACACTGCTTCGTGTAACTGAAATAGAAATTCTATACAAACACATGAGAAGGAAGTCTACATCACTTTCACCTTTCATTTTCTGCGATAACGATCGCAACAATGTCCAACGGGAGCATACACACCGTTAATGAATTAACATTAGTCCTTAGGTGGCGCAGGCGTCGATATCGGGGGCGACATTTCTACCGTGCAGTCACGTTGTCCTGCGCTTTCTTTTGTCGTGATTCTTTGGTCTCGCCGGCCATTGTCTTCCATAGGACACTTTATATCCTGGGTAACAAACGCTAGTCAATCAGTCATACTCCAGCAGGCGTCTGGAGATCACCAGCTAATTGTAATTGCTCCGCCGAAATTCAAATTAAAAAGTGCAGTCAAAATGTGCAACAAACTCACCCTTTTGTCCTTGACATACGTCATCGTTTTCATCTCGGTAGTGCAGTGTGATAGCACGGAGAGGAAGGATTTCTTTAGTCAAGGTAATTAAATTTTTTAACACTACAACTACCCCACATGAACAGTTGAAGTCACGTCCCCCACTAACAAAGATAGGTTGCCAGAAACAGTAGTTAATAAAGTCGTTAATGGATGAAGCCTATTAATCAGACCGAATTATCTGTAAAATCTCGCTTATCTAGTAACTAAACAATACTTATCTAAGCACTCAATATCCGATGTTATGATAGCATATTGTGAAAAATATATTTACTACAAAGGAAAATTATATTACATTATATTACAGTATTTCCTGTAGGCAAATACGATAAACATGAAATATAAGAATATTAAGAAGACATAAATTGTTTGAAAATAAATAGGACATATTTATAGGTGTGACCTATGAATATGTCATATCAATCGTAGGAATCTTTATTTCATGTAATTAGATTAATTTCTTGTTAGGTCAATCCATACATCAAGACAAAGTAAAACTAAAAATAGGAATGGTGTCAATTTTACCTAACAAATCTGTTCTCCATGGTTAAACTGCCCGACGTGTCCCTAGCTGCAATAATGTAATGACAATGGTTTTCTCTGATGAATGCGGTTTGAATCAAAAAAAAATATTGTAGTACAAATTACAATCTTAGATAGTTATTACCGTATTCAACTATTCAAAGCATGACTTCATAAATTTTACGAAATTGTTAAGAAAATTATTTGATTACCAATACCAATTTCAAGTCCAATTAACTCTCTCAGAAGGGGATGATTTTACGAATAGAATTTTTCGCATATCCTTCTCAAGATTATAAACTATTTTCACATCGTTTGTATACTTTGTTTACTCAGTTCCACAAATAAGTATCAAATTAGTACTTAGTAAGATTACTCACCCAAGATTGCCCTATAACTATCAGAAAAACCGTCATACTAAGCATCCTTGAGGTTTATTTCATATCAACTCGATTATCACAAATCTAAATAGGATTTAAAACCCTATTTCTAGGCTAAAACGGATTAAAGACCACTAGATATAAAGCTAATTGCTCTGTGTTCATACATTCGCTTTCATACGCTCATCTCACTTTAATTTATTAAATGCATGACGTGTAAGCAGAATATGGTATAGAAAAATCACTCTTATTGATGTTAATAATAAATGTCTGCGATTGCAATTTGCTTTGGTAACCTTTTCGTATTCTATTTTGATATAGGTTCTTAAGGACCTGAATAAAATAAGTAAATATTTTTTTCTGAGTTGCAGGTACATAAGGACTGCTTTATATAGGTACACATACCTCTTAAAAATATGAAATATTTCTACAATATGGTGGTCTAAGCGGTAAACCAGATTTCGGAACGATAATGACTAATGAAAATTACTTCTAATTATTTCTTTTCAGACTTAAGCGTCGGCCGTACGTTTGGTCACAATGCCCTCAAACGGCTCTCCTTCATCTTCCTTCCTGTCATGTTCACCCTGGGTGTGATCTCCACTCTCCTGATGGCTCTTGCTGTCATCTCAGTGAAGAACTTGGCTATTGGAGTAATGTTGCTCATCGTGGCTGTCAGTCAGGTAAGTAAATTGACAATAAATGTTCGTTCAACTTTAATTGACATCTGCTATGATGTTATCAGTAGTTGGCTACGAAGACCTTGAAGATGACGCTTAGCGTTGACTTAAAAACCTGATAACTATACCGTTAATGGTTACTGATTGACTAACAAACTTTAAACTTGGTACAATAAAATCCTAAATTCCAATGGTAGCGAGAAAGAACAAATTTTGTTACACCATTTATTTTTTTAAATACTACATGATATTACTATACGATACTAGTGTATAGGTATTTTAAGTTTAATCTCGAAACATATTACAATGACCGATAATAATTTAAGGTCATGGTTAATTCTTCATTTTTGTGCTGAGCCTAAATCCTTTCTTAAAAGGGGATTTGAAATTCTTCTCAAAGGAAGAGTAAAAAACTGCTATATTTTTTTTCTCGTTAAAATTAAGTGTAGCTTTTGAAAATCCTTCATTGTTTTGTACTCTGATAATCTCCTTGTCAATCAACGTAAGAACGAACAACGAATATTTTGTAAGAATTATGAGTAGCTTATTTTAATTTTAATTTATTGTTTAAAATGTCCAATAACGACTCCCTACATAATCGATTGAATAAAACTTGGGCTGAAAATAGGTGCTGTGCTAAGTGTAAGTGTCTTTCACCTTTGTTTTCCAGGCCGTATCCAGATTGTTCCTAACAGCCGCGTCACCATCACCTCTAGTGCACTTACATCCTCGAGCTGAACTCCTGCCAGCTCCAGCCGTACCTGCGCCCTGGCCCGCACCTGGTCCCCTACTCTCACCCTGGGCGAGATCTGACAACGACGCACCTATATCTGACTAAACAAGTATTTTAAGTACCTGTACGAAATGTTTCAACAACCCGTGTAATAAAAAGGATGGAGGCTGTAATTAAGATAAAAATAAAGTTCTCGATGTCGTTAGCGCTACAGTATGTTGTACACACAAATGCCATAGTTGAATGACCTCTCTCGAGGGTCATGCAATGGCGTATTCCTCCATTTCTTCTTATTCCATGGAAAATACACGATAACTAGACACATATTTTGGTGACTTACATTCGAAACCCACCAATCGAGTAAACGCTACGGCTACCTCAACGACTGAGCATTCAGTTCAACTAACGTGCATTTATTTATTCGTTAAGAACTAATTTTATAGGAATCGTAATTACTTTTCATCTCACAAAAGTAATTTTATCGAAATGTTATGCAATATCGTCTGGCTCTCGCGAAAACTGTGAGATTTTGTGAAAGTTAGACGATTGATATTAATTTTTAAGTATTTATTGTTCAATTAATAAATGAATCAAACAATAACTAGCTCTTTCATTCTGCAACTTAATTTTTTCATGCGTGAATTGAAATTAAAATGGCTGCGCGGCCTTAGTATGCATAATTTAATGTGTTTGCTTTCTCATTTGGAATTCAGAACACTGTAACCACTTTTTTATTTGTTTTTGCAAGTTGATTCGCAATAAAACTTCGCTATCACACTGTAGAGGTAAATGCCTAGCAGTAGGTACTAAATTTAACAATTAAAACTAAACCACGCTGCCGCATTATCTGTTAATTGCTGCCATATATCTTTGTATGACAACTGAGTTTGCGTGCTCTTCGAAGCATAGAAGTGTTACATCGCCGACTTCCAGATTCCGGCTATCTAGGAACCGTTTCTTTGTAAGGAAACCTAAAAAAATCCCCACTTTACATCATTTATAAGTACAGTAAATATTTTCTGGCACGCAATTTTCCACTAAAAAGTACTCGAATTACATTACACATACATGTGTAAATTTTAGGTGCATGAAGAATGAATACTTCATGCAAAAATAATAAATTCCCTCAAAGGCAAAGTTTATTTGCTTAGAGGCTAAACCCTTCTCCTTCGATCCTCAAATCTTCAAATCCCTGACCCCAAAAGGTCGTGAACGCACTTATAACTCCTCTGATGTTATGAGCGGCGCTGATCACTCACGATAAGTTGATTCATCTGGTAATTTGAAGCGCTATCCTATTAAAATGCACACAAACTTTCATGGCCGCGGGAACGCGCCACCTCCGGGTGGGTCTCAAATAACGGCGGGAGGGGTTACCATCGGTGTCGAGACGGCGATGAAGTACCTGGGACTCGTCCTCGACAGTCGGTGGAACTTCGTGGAGCACTTCCGTCGTTTGGCTCCAAAGTTGGCGAGGACGGGGGCTGCGTTTAAGCGCATCCTCCCCTACCTCGGGGTGTCAAACGCCTCCTGACGGAGGTTATACGCCGGGGTCGTGCGGCCCATGGCCCTCTACGGTGCCCCTGCGTGGGTGCCGAACCTGTTGCGGCGTTCCGCTCGGACGCTGCTCATGTCACAGAGGGTCATGGCGTCTGATGGGGCGGGAGGAAACGCCCGGGTGTCATCACTGCGAGGACCGCCCTGAGGAGACGGTGGAACACACTGTAGCGGAATGCCCTGCGTGAGCTGAGCACCGCCGTGCCCTCAGGGAAGTGATCGCCGGTGGCGACCTCTCGCGTCCGGGCCTAGTGCAGGCTATGATGCGGAGCGTGGGGGACTGAGATGCCGTGTCCTCCTTTTGCGAAGCAGTCATGCTAGCTTAGGAGGAGGCGGGACGCGTGAGGCAGCGAAGCGCTGCATCCTCGCAACCCAACCATCGCGAAGGACACACCGGGCGTCGGGGATTGCGTGACGATCTCCGGCCACCGTAAACGCGGGCCTGCGGACGGCGAGCATGGGTGGCTTCCCGTCCGACGAGAAACAGACCCGAGCGTACGGCGCGTCGCGTTCATCCAAAGAGCCATCAGACCACCGCAGATGGGGCCCAATAGGGCGGATGCCAATTCGGAGTCGCGGAGAACCTAACGGGTAACCGGGACTCCGGTTCGACGTGCAGGAGAAGGAACGGGGTGGTTTTTAGTCAGTAAAAGTCTGACACTCCCTCCCACCTCACCCAGGCGGAAGCAGTCATTCGATGATTTTCCCCCCTTAAAAAAAATCCTTTTAAAAAGAACGCAAAGACAAATATTGTTAGTTCATAAACAGTAAGCCATCCATTCTGTGGACATGTGCGTCCACGGAGTGCATGGCTTACTAGGATTGGTCATTAGAAGCGCTCTCTACTGTATCTGCGGTAGCGTGGCTTTCGTGGTTATTTTTTACTCAGACTAACGTAGTCTGAGTTTTTTTGCACTCGAATACACCGTTATTTTGAACAAGTAGTAACTTCAATTATTTGAATATTTTAAATTTCTCTAAGAAATAAATAAAACTATTATAAAGCTGGGCGCTCAATTTCTCCGTTAGATTGGATCAAAGGCTATTAAGAAGTATCATTTGTACCCATAAGTACAATATAAAGTTAATGAATAAGAAAATAAGGTTAATTTTTGTTTAAATTTTGATTAACGACCCATTTCAATTAACTATTTATTGGTTTTGAAGCTTAATTACGTCATATCTATCGACAGCCATTAACCGCAAGAGCAATTCGATAGATAAGAACTAATTTACGAAGACTTAAAACGGAAATAACAGTCATATCACGTTGGCAATTAAATAGTAAATTCATTACGACACATATTTCTTTTTTAGTCACATTCTTCTTCATGCGTGATGGCTGAAATGCTTTCATTTACTAGTGCAATTATATCGTCATTCTAAAACTACTTAAATCTATCAATTTCAACGTTTATTTGATACTTATTTGTACGCACAATGCTTTATACCACATTGCATTTAATTTCCGTTTTCCTGTATGCCTTTATGGATTAACAGTAAGCATTGTACACGAGGAATCAATTCCTATATATACTTAAATAAAATAGTGTATAGATAGACACTAAACTATCTATATAAATGAAAATGAATTTCCGTTCATTAGTGTCGCTAAAACTCGATAACGACTCAACAGATTAGGCTAATTTTGGTCTTGAAATGTTTAATGAATATCAGAGAAGGTTAAATTGTGTGAAAGAAAAATTGAGGCGATACAATGTTTGCCGAGTCAGCTAGTATAATTATGTTATTTATAAGGCTTGGATGTCCTTGCTCAATCACGATCTGGATGACCATTAGAATTCCTACAGAGATTATAGTATACTAGTGGACCCGACAGACGTTGTCCTGTAATAATAGGTATAGATAAATAACCTAGAAACCGACTGCAGCGTCATCTGCCGGGGTGATTTGTGAATCTAAACCATTCCCAGATCCCCTTGAACACACACAAGAAACAAAAAATTTCATCAAAATCGGTCCAGTCGTTTGAGAGAAGTTCAGTGGCATACACACTCATAGAAGAATTATATATATAAAGATTTTAGTTTATAGAAAAGGTACCTACCAAATCCCCCTTATGTACAGGAAGCCACACTTCAGCAATGGACTTTCACGTGCTGTCCATGTTGTTGATAATGTTACTAATAAAAGCTTTGGCTGGAGCAATCAAACAAACGTATGATTCACTAATTAGTAGTTGCCATTAATTTACATGAATTCATGAATAGATCCAGCCTCCAATTACGTTTGATTTTATATTATGTAAGTAGTATTATAATAACCGGGAGTTGAATATAAATCGGGTCTACACTAATATTTTAATATTAATTAGTAGACCAGAGTCAATAGCGTCATTAACTGTCAGCAATGTTGTTAAATAGTGGTAGAATGACACCCATTGCAAGGAAGAGAATGTTCCCAAAAATATGGAAAATAAATTACGGGCGAACTGAGGTCGGGAAAAATTCGGGATTAGCAGAATAACCTTATAGAGCGAAAAAGAAAAGGTTACAGTAAAAAGTTCAATAGAAAAGTTGTAAATAGCTACAACTTTTGAGTTTAAAATTTTCACAGATATCAACGAAATTTACAAGAAAATATCAAAATACAGATTTTTTTGTTTTTCATATTTATCTTACTCATCCTTTTTACTTTTTGTTCGACAGTTTGGGGTGACGTAGGTACTTTTTTATGTTCTTAAAACATATTTTGTCCTTTTTTATTAAAATATTAAGTAAAAATTTAAAAGTTGAGAAAACCACTGGTGCATTTCTTATTTTTGTTGAAATGTCTATTTTTGGATGGATAAAAAATAAATTACGTTTTATTGCAGCTTCACAGAAAAAGCAGATAGCCGAAAACATCGTGTCAAAAAGAGCATCTACTTTTTTCAGTCGCAAAATTTAATGACAGTATTCGGTTTTTGAAATAAATTGGTGTGTGTTTAATTAAATCTTTGCATTTAGTTGGTATACAATAAAATATACACCATAAACGAATCTTCACGGAAAATGTAAAAACAATAAACACAACGTAACTGAGCCATTTCGTAAAAGTACCTACATTAACTTCCAATTGAAAGACATGACACCAAAAACAATCTGCTTAACTTGTGCTCTTCTCGTTTAATGAAATATTAATAGATGCTGTAAATGCAGAAAAAATCGAATAATCGCCCACCAATCATTTTGTAGACCTCAGTTCACCCGTAATTTTTTTTCCAAATTTGTTTGGCCACGTTCTCTTCCCTTTGCAATGGATTTCACTTAGGTACTATGTTTTCAAATTCAGCTTATGTATATGTCGAAGCCGGTTATGAGTACGGACGCTAAATGTAACGCAGGCGCGTCACCTAGCGGATTTCAAATGCGCATAGGCTGAGTCGTGGCGTCCGAGTCCCACTCGGCGGAGCTCACTTCAGTTCGAGTCGTCACCGAATGAAGGCGGAGAAGTTGCCCTACTTTGCGTTTAGTGACCGTACGTTGTAAACAATGTACAATAAATTCAGTGATTAACCCCTGGTATGCCGGAACGTAGATATACGCGAGACACAATGTGTTTTCTATTGTGTCTCACATGCCGGCAGAT